CTATATTTAGTGCTTGTACAGCAATATGTTATGCTGTATAAATCACTTTGTTTAAACATTCAGATCTCTTTGCAGCAATGTTGGGATAATGCTTAGGACTCTCAAGAATGGAATACACAATACAACTTTTGATTTTTACATAATTTTGCCCTGATTTGCTAGATGACGAAAGTCAAAGCCAGTCTGCAGATTTTAGGCTGTCGTTGACAGATTTCATAGAAATTCAGTGTATGATAGGCAAAATTTTTTTTTTTTTTTTTAAAGTTTTAAACTATGATTCCATCCAGTTGGAGGATATTAAACATGCTTGATATTTTGAGCTGAATTTAGAACACATATTGTTTTAATTTCTCATGCATCTCCTAGCAACGAGGCGCATATTTCTGCATTTGTTGTGTTCTGGGTGACGTGAAAATAGTGTGTGAACCTCAGTTGTTTACTGTATGATGCTCAGTTCTCTGTAATCGTTTACAAAATTGGCAAGTGAAGGAAATCTAGTGTTCAGATTTTTAAGTTGTGTAGTGTAGTCCAGCCTTTAATGTTAACATATTACTTTTTGGGAGTTATGAGTAAAGATATGTGTTACTTGATGTATGCAATATAAGTAATGTTGCTTTTCTTTTAATTTCATTCATGAACTTTATGCATATACATTGCATAAATTTCATTGCATACAAACTATGAGGAATAAACACTTATAAACTGCATAAAATACCTTTCAGAAAAACAACCACAAGCCAAGCATACTGTAGAACCACTACTCTGGGAGAGAGTAAGAAAAAGTTACACAAACATATCATAAAATACTTTATATTTTATAATTCTAGAAAGTAGGGCTGCATGTTTTGGGGGAAAATTTTGAATTTAAAATTTGTCATTGATGCTAAATTCAAGAAAACAGTGCTGCGCTTCACTCTGACACAGTGCATTTATTTATTTAATTAACTCCCAATCTTTGAGATTAATAATTACGCTAAACCATCTCGCAATTTTAATTTTATGTCCATACTAGACAGAATCTGCCAATTTTAATGGAAAATTTCAGGGAATGGATTCTAATCAGAGCTGAGCGTGCTGCACTCTTGTTGGTTGTTGAAAGCACAAATTAGCCAAAAATATAATAAATGACCAAGCATGTGATGTGTAAAATGCTGTAAGCTTTCTGCAGGAGTAACGTAATGATATAACCATTAACATTGATTGCCAGCACCCTAAAAGTAGCATTGTCTTCACAAACTTCCACATGCCCGCTCATTTCTTCTAGCCCTAGTGGGCCACACGTGTGGCAGCGTTAGACGCCCCCTGGCCAGTCTTTCCCTCTCCTCCAGTTCTCCACTGTCTGCTCTTAATGGGGCTTACAGCGGCGTTCTGCCAAACTGCGCCCTCACGCAGGCCCATACATCAGCCGCCGATGAGGCTCATTAACCCTCCTCTCATGACTCAATACACTCCTCCTCTTTCCCTCACTCGTTCGTCTCCATCACGTCTTCGCTTTTCTCCTGGCCAGGCCAACGCGTCGGACTCCAGCCTCCCAGGAGTGTCGTACCAGGTGAAGAGATCATGAGAAGTTAAATCGGGCCAGGGCGGCCCTCACCTAATGACCCGTCGGGCGATTTCAGTGCTTCTATTGATGTGCGATATTTTAGAATATGCCGTTTTTGAAGAATGTGCTCACATTTTATGACTTACGAAGCAGTGATAGATCGATATATAGGTTTTTGAGATGATCATCAGCCGTTTGCATCAACTTGTACTAAATTTGGTGCACTTTGAGAAAATATTATGCGAAATAGGTGGTCATTTCATTTAGGAAACATTTGCATTTGGTAATGTATATATCAGCATTATATTGGACACCAGCAACACTGTAATCTCAGTATCGGCATCAGCCTTTGAATTAACATTTTTTGTTGACTATATACATCTACTTTGATCATTCGATGCATGTTTTCATCTACATCTTTGCCTTATGAAATTGGACTTCTCAACTAGCCATTTTGTCCCTCTTGCATAGCATTTTGTCAGTGTTTTGCATTATTATGCCCTCTTAATTCCTGCCCAGGTCCGAAATCCAGGATTTGATCAGCCCCTTTGCTCAGTCCTTGCTCAGAGGCCCTGAGATGGAAAGACTTTCTCAAGCATATCCATCTCCTCCCTTTTCAAACCCTGTGAGCGCCTAGCATCGCATTAGCACTAGCTGTGTGGCTCGTGAAGGTGGCGGGACTTCTCTTCCCAGCATGTTTGCCCTGCAGTTGTGCAAACACCCGTCTGACGGATCACTCCGCCTGCCCCCGGTGACCCGCCGTGGCATGTTTTGATTCATTAATTATGAAATAGTTGCACGTTCCAAACCTACACAAAAACACACATGAAAGGGAAGCATATTTTATGATGTATGAATATTACTTCCAGTTATTGTTACAGATGTCTTTATCATTAACCTTGTTAAAGTTGGCGTTCATAGGCCAGGAGAGCCAAAGAAAATACTTTTGTGGGTTTTTGTGAAATATTCCACTTTCTATGGGCTTTGGTTCAGTGGCTCGTGTTCAAATCCGAAAAGCAATTTAAAAGCGGTACAGCGCCACAAAACGCTGATTGTCCAGATAGGGCCAAACAGAGGCCACGGACGGGGTCCTGGGACAGTCTGGGTTCAGTGGGATCTTAGTCAGAGACTGTGTGTGTGTGTGTGTGTTTAAAAGTGTAATAATGCAGTTGATACACTGCAAAAAAAAAATCATATACTTAATCAGTATTCTCTTGTTTTTTTTATTAAAAAAATTCTAAACTTATCTATTGCATAAGACATTTAGACATTTTTAGATATTATATATAGCATTCATTTTACCTCTCGTTCAGTCGTTTGTTTATTAAATATTTTGGCATATTAATTATGTTTTCATCTACCGGTAAATGTCTAGCACTCTTCATTTCAACACACATTACCAAAATTAAACCCATTGCACAAACTTCCGCTGATTTTTCACTAAAACCAGCAAAGGAAATGCAGAAAAAGTTTTCTTGGCCTGCCACTGGGTAAGTAAAATAAACATAACGATTACATTCTCGATTATCAGACAATGATTATCTTAGCATCTTATGCTAGTTTATTATGTTATGCAATTTTGCTTCTCGAGTTCTTATTTTAAAGATCTTTAAATATTTTTCCTGGAGAACAAGATAAAAATAGTGATTACGGTAATTGATAATCCACGCACATGCGTCAGCTCCCTTTATTAATCTTTTCCTTCTCTCTTTGTCTCACAGTGTTTGAATAATTAGTCCTCTTGATGAGAGTATATTTTTGTCTTTTTAAATCATTTGAAAGAAAATAAACTGTCTGCTGGCCACATTAGCATCTGCTTCCCGTGTGCCACAGTGTGTGTGTGTGTGTGTGTGTGTGTGTGTTTTAGTAAGTTAAGAGGCACCTGCTCCTGCCGTGGCATATTTCCTGGTGTGCTTGGCACTGCCAGCGCCCAGGAATCCCCCTTCCCTCCTCTCATTTCTCCACATCCCATAGCCAAACCTCTACGGAAATCATTTGGAAAAAGGATTTGAGCATTAAAGATAACCACACCTGTGATTATCATTAGACAGAGGTGCTGTAAAATGTTAAATCCCTCTCTTTAGTTTAAGTTTCTTTTAATGAGCGGAAAATTAAACCTTTCGGGCAAATTCCAAGTGTTGAATTTTATATAACGATTTAAAAAGAAGTGCTCGGTGAGGTGATTTGTTTTCAGTAGTGTTTTGAGGGCTAGACGAGAGAGAGAGAGGGACCCTCTTACTGAGGGTAAGTGGGGGAGAGGCGAGGGGTCTCCATCCTCACATGTCTGCGCTCTGCATCATCAGCCCCACAGTTCCCTCATTTCTAATTTTTTGTCAGTTTGATTCGTTAGACTCCCTTCTCTATGGGCTATTTAACAGTTCTCTGGACGCTTGTTACCCTTGAGTTTTTAACACCTGAGAAGAGTGGAACCAGTGTGCTGGATGGTGCATCACTGTTTGTCAATCTTGCTCTATTATATTAAACAATAAAGCACTGAAAGCTGTGTGTTGCTATTTTGTCAAGGTTAAGAGGTGTGATAGTACTTTACAATAAGGTTCCATTTGTTAACATTAGTTAATTACTGCATATTAGTTGACATGAACAAACAATGAAAAATACCTCTAAAGCATTTATTGATCTTAGTTAATGTTCCAAAAAAAATAAATAAAGAGAAATAAATCGAAAGTCATGAATCTACATAGACTTAACATTTACAAATACATTATTAAAATCAAAATTTGGAGCCGAGCTAACATGACCTAACAATGAACCTTTGTATTTTTATTAAAGTATGTTATCATAGACGAACAAACACTAACAAATGTATGGCTCATTATGTAATGTTAGTTAATGCATATATAGTTAACTAATATATCCTTGCATGATGTGAAGTGGTAAAATTACTGTAACACATAGTAAAGAGTAGATTACTGTTTTTTTTAAATGAAAGACTTCAGTGTTAATAGTAATATTCTATATATTTTGCCATGAATAATTAAATTAGTAAATAATAATAATAATCAAAATAGTCAAAAGATAAAATAAAAATATGGGCACACAACTGTAGAATGAGGAATATTATCTCTTTTTTTTTTTAGATTGTTAAAAATGTTGAAGGTGGGGTCTAAAATTAGCATTCACCAAAATAGAATTTTTTTGCGTTGATTAAATATTGTATGATTCCACTTGAATTGTAAGAATGATAATCTGGTGCATTTTTTTTTTTTTTTTCAACCATTACCAAGTTCACATTGAATGCTTTAATTTTTTTGACTCCAGAACTCTATGCAGCAACACATTTGTGGAATATTATGTGCACTTTGCAGCCAAATTGGACATATGAGGAATAAAGTCATTATATATCAGGCAGCAAAGCTCAAAAAATAGAATGATTTAGGATGATGGATATAAAAAATGTAATATTGACAAACACTTTTGTTTCTCTCTGGTTCCTCAGCTGGAATCCGAGCTGGAGCAGTGTGAACGAGAGAGTGCCGAACTACAGGAATACGCAAACTCCGTCCTGCAACAGATTGCCGATCACTGCCCGGACATCCTGGAGCAAGTGGTCAACGCTCTGGAGGAGTCCTGCTGACCGGACCGGATCACGGAGCTCACTTTTCCTGCTTCTCCTTCCCTTTCTTCTGTGTTTCACAGAATGCCAGCACACAGACACAAACTCTCGTACCCTCACCCACATGCACAAATCAAAGGACAGACACATACGGGAAAGACTGACAGCTCACAAGTCAAGTGCACGCTTGGATTGGCTTCGGGGTGTGCGAATGGTGGGCTTTCCTTCTGCCCTCCCCTATCACCACATGCACCTTCAGAATCCCGTTTACACTCACATAAACATGGGGAAGAAGAAACCGAAAGAGGGAAACGGGCGGCAGGGAAGCTTAGTATTATAAGACATGTTCACTCATTCAGTTAAACCCGTCCTGCGGGAGGTGAAGTTCTCTCTGTGAGGGTCAGGAAATAGTCTCCTTATCTTGATATACACTATTGCCACAGCTTTTAAAAGCTGCAGGATTTTTAAACCGTTTTGAAGCAATTTAGATTTTTTTCCCCCTCCCTCCTCCTCTCCCTTTTTTCTAGATGCTTTGTTACTGACGTTAAATTATGGGTCATTCGCGCAGGGCAAAACTCCTGCACTCTCGAACCATCTGGTTTCACTCAAAACTTGGTTAATGCTCCGGTTGTGCCAGCAGACAGTCCACGCGGACTTAAACATAGCCTACTTTTACTATCGAAGTCAGTAGCGGGTTTAGATTACTGCAACCCCCACCATCTGGGAATTTACTATTGACTTGGTTACTGGCCGATTTCCTCCCCAAGTCTCGTTCATGAAAGTTACAAAACGGACAATATGGGTAATGTTAACCCGTATGCACCTGTCACCAGCTAAAGAAACCACAGCCCTGGTTTGTGTCTGTTAAAGGTGAGAGGAAGAAAATTATTTTCCTTGGAAGTTGTAGGTTTATTGCTGCTAACATTTGTCTTTGCATGTGGCAGGTTTGGTTTGCTCGTGTTTTTCTATAGCTCTCTGATGATGCCGAGGGCGGTAAAACAGAGGGTGTATTGCCGACGCAGATGTTGTGGACGCAGAAGTGCCTCATCATCAGAGAGCAGCTGCCACACATCACTGGAATAGGAAAATAGGTACCTATCACTCATTCCGTACTTTGAAAACTATGTGGTCTCACACTGGGATGAAGACTGGCGGTAGTTTTTCAGTTTGCTCGATTTTGCTCTACAAGGTTTTCTTGACGGATAAGGTCAAATAAAAGTAGCTGTTTAGATACCCTCTTGCTTTATTCCACTCTCTCTTTTTTTTTGAACAGTTGGAAGTTGTTTTTTGCGGTTGCTTTCTGAGATATCATCAAGCTTTGATCCCAAGCATCTCGCATGTACCATCATGCTCCTGTCTTTCTCTTTGCTTGGCTTCATATCATCATCCTCAGACCCGGGCGTCTCTGTTAGCACAGCCGGCAGGTGTATCCTCTTTCACTTTATGGTTATATGGGTCTATATCCGTTGGCATTGGGTGTCCCTTTTTGGAGTGATAAGATACAACCTCGTTCAACTTGTGATAAACGTGTTCGGCCGTTGCTTTAAAGTCCAGAGTCGACTTCCCCTGTGGATGACACTGGGCGTAACGTGCCCTCTGCTCTTCTCTCTCTATATCTCCTCATCCCTCCCTCATTCATGCCTGTGTGTAGTTTATGGCTCTGACCTGCTGTGTTGTGTTAGTCATACTCCTCTCTGCACGATAAGCCCCACAGACAAGACAAACAGCACAAGATCACAGCGAATATAATCATCTCTCTCTCACACGCTCCCGTATCACCATACCACCTCTCCTCATGCCCATACGCACTGGTTATGAGGGAACCTGCCACGTGTTGTGGGGCCAAACGTTCGCTTTACCCAGATTTGATTGCACTGTGAGTCTCTACTCTAGTAGCTGTAACTAGTACTAGTATATTGTTCTCCAGAGATTCATGTTTGTTTGTCTCTGTGTGAATGATTTAGACTAAAAGACGGGTTTATGTATTTGGGTGAATTTCATAAAAACGCATTCAGGTCACATTGTACGCCAAAATCATAAGAAATTATATATTGCATAAAAAGGAATGAAGCTACATTATTTTCATGAAAACGAAGCACATTTTTTCTCAAAATTCTGAAGGCATTTAAATTAAGTAATATTATTATTATGATATAGTTTTATTATTATTATTATTATTGTAATTCATATTATTCTTAATCATATTTTTCATGATATTCTGATTACAAAAAATACTGGATTACAGTTTTAAAAATCTCCAAAAATCCAAAATAAAAGTTAAATAAATGTAAAACATTTTATTTAAATTTTCATAAATTAAAGTCAGTAAAATAAACACTAAATGGAAGTAAATAACTTTGTTTAAATATTTTTTTTACCACATTACTGTATTTTTTTTAGTTTTTTTGCATTATGGTAATGAGAATTGAAAATGTGCTTAATTGTCATGAAACAGAGATGAGATTCACCTTATTGCATCTATAATTAACTAAAGCTTAATGTGGTAATGTGGAGCCACTTTAACAACGTATTCCCACGCTCACATGGGCAATGCCAAGAAAACACCCATTCGCGTGTCATTCTCACCCTTGGCACCGTAGATCTTATTGCAGTCATATGCATTGCATATCCATAAAGTATTTTATGGTTTTATGCTCTTAATTACAGCTGATGGACTTTCTTATGAGGACATAAATGTGACGAGCAGCTCTTTTGGGCTTTTAATATCAAACAGCTGATTGATGACGCCCATCCTGTTTTTCATCTCTGGCTTTCTTCCCGTCTGCTATCTCATTCACGCACAAACACAGTTTTGGCCGTCACCCGTGGGTCTCTGAAATATGGGGCTCAGTTATCTTCACTGTGGCTGAATCTCCTCGCTTAGACTAAACACAGACCCCTCGCACACACACACTCGCTATCACAGGCCCTCTCGCGATTTATGTCCTTCAGTACAGGAGCTGGCCTCTCAGCGCAGAGCACTCCGGAGAATTCCCTAAGAAAACAAAAAGAAGGAACGCTGTGATAACCGGGAGCAGATCAGAGAACGAATGACCCAGCGCTTTGCAGAGGGTGTTGTTGTGTGTTGAGTGAGTGTCTCTCTGGAGCTCTGGTATTTGTGTGATTGCTGGTTATAGGCAGACCTAATCACACAGAAGAGTGTAGAAATTCCCTGCAGGCTTTGGATCGCTCCGCATGTGTCTCAGTGATTCCTCCTTGTGTTTTTGAGGAATTACAGAGATCTACACCAGCGCTCTCTGCTCAGAAGCTAATTACCAATACTACCAATATTCAGTAGCACTTTGTATGAAGGCTGTATCTATTACAGTATTTTGAGTGCAGATTAATTCACAATACCTTGCTTAGTCATGTTTAACGACTATAATGCATTATAAAACAACATGAAATTTGGTGTTGATAGTGTGTTGTTTTTTTAAGGGTGTAACCATTAGATAAGTATTATAGTGCATTAAAACTAGACATAATTATTCATAACTGATAAGTTGTATTATAAGGCATTAAGAATGCATTGTATAAGCAAAATTGCGCGCCAATTCTGTTTATATAATGCATTAGAACACCCCATATACCTGAATTCACTCTATGTAATCTCCTATATAACCCTATACAGGCTTCATTTAAATTTTTTTAACATGTTTCACTATTTTGTTTTGCAAACCACTCTTGTTAATTTATGGGAGCAGCTATAGGATGTGGTCAGCTGACTTTCCATACCGTTTGGCTTTTTACATCTACCTGGCTTAAAACTGCGTTCAGCCATGAGTGTGAATGAGCGTGAGGTGTTGCTTCATGTTTTAGTATGAACATTTTTCATCCTCATTAAACTCACCGAGGCATGTCTGTGGAGGGAGAGAGAGAGAGAAAGAGCAAGCGTGGGGCGGCCAGGCTTCGCACAGGCTCTAAGGGCCTGGCTTATTTTCCATTCGCTGTCAAGATTTTTATTCTACCCTATTTTGCCCTATAACATGAGACATTTATCATAGCGTCTACTTAAATGCTTCACAAAATGGATTACATCATGTTGCATGTCCCATAATTCTTAGTGTTAATCAGTAGTGATCCTGAGTTTTGTCATACAGATGTTCTAATCGTCTTTTATTCATTACTGAAGAACTGTGAGAACACTGCCAGAGACGTCTCATACACTCATGCATATACAGAAATCTATATTTATATATGTCGATGGTTGAACCTAGACTTAGTTGAACAATTTGCACAAGCGTCTGGGGAAGAGAATATATCCGTCTGAACAAAATGACTGTCAGCTATTTTAAAAAAAAATTAAAGAATGAACTAGTAACACTAACATTTGTCTTGAAATGAACATTAAAGAAAAAGCAAAGCCTTTCTAAGTGTCAAATCAAAGCAAGTTGTTACCATGTGGTTGATGATGTGCTGTTTCTATCTTCTCCGTATCTTGTTCGATTTTGATTCCAGCTCATCTTACAGTAATTTTTTTTTTCTTCTTTTTTCAGTCCTTGATAGTGTGTGTGATTGCGATGTTGAAAACTGCATTACAAAACATGTATATCTATTCTTGGCCTTGGAGAAACATCCGTGACCGTGTTTCGAGTGGACTGAGGGATGCCGAGACCTTTGCTTGAGAACTGTGATTCTAATAGCACTCTGGGTTGCTGGAAAGTCCGTGTTATTTTAGATTAGCATCATTCGTGCATTTTCAGGAGATAATAACCGTGTTGTGTTGACCGTTTTGGTCAGATGATCAGCATCACTCGACACGAAGCCTTATTTTTTGTTCGTAGTAATTTATCACATGTGTAAACACACTTAAAGTTTTTATGGCGTCCTAAGTAGATTGCCTATTAAATTGTTTACTTATTAACTCATCTTGAATAGTCATTATTTACCCAAACGGTCCGTCAACACGTCCACATTTTTCATGCATTACTTCCCTCCACTTAGTTTGATGGACTGAGACTGTTTAAAGCATGAAACCACATAAAACATCGGCTGAAGGATTTGGCAAGTTTATGTCTGACTTTCCGTTCTCCATCTGAGCGAATTCGGTGCCAAACGAAGCTAGTCTGCTCAAGAAAGTGCCACAAATAATAACCTGCCTGTCGTTCATCAGCAACCAAAGCCAGGTCATGTGACCTTTTACTGTTTATAACATGTTTGTTTTATTTTGAAACCTTTAAACCTTAATTGACACAATAAGAGGTCAAACCGAAACCAGGCCTGCTGTGCTCGGTTAGCTGCTGGAGTCCAGCTAGATGAAGCACCAGAACGGACGCCTTTATTAAGTGTGTAATGGACTTGTTCGAGTGTCTGAGTTGAATGAAGCAGCATTATTCACAAGGACCTAATCTTCATTTCGACTCAGAAATGTGTATGTGGTAACAGTCATTTTCTAGACTGTGTGCCTATATGAGAAAATATGTCAGGCTTGTAGTTGGCACTTATTATATTTTTTCCCTCTGGATTTTGTCCTAAGAGAGTGTCAGACCTCAATATCACCCCATCCACATCATGCTCTCTTGGCTCCAGCAACCCTGCCTTCTGTTACAGCAAGGGTCTATCTTTTCTAATGATTCGTGCTCTTTTTCTACACAGTACACAGAAACACTGTCAAGGAGGATTCTCGGCCTTTCCCCTTTCATTTAATGAAGAAAAATAAATGGGGAAAAATGTCAACTTTAACCCAAAGCTGGTCATCTTTCATGTCTTTTTTTTAATGATATTTTCATGTTCACAAAAAATACTGCCTTACGTCTGTGTGGAAAAGATAAAAGATTTCTGTAAAAAGAAAATGAAAAATAACAAAAAGGCGTATTGTATTCAGCTTTTGCCTTTGTATGTATATAAACTCTATCATTCAGTCCTTATTGTGTTTGAGCGTTTTCTGTCAACTACAATGCATTATTATTCTTACCGTTCTTCTCTGTTACAAACTTATTGTGCTGCCTACCTCAACTGCGTTTTAAGGCATCATATAGGCAAAAGATAAAATACTGTCTATGCTACCTTTTAAGATGCTTTGTTTTAGTCCTAAAACGAAGAATCACATGTATCCTTGTGGAAAAGATAATCCCAGGATGCATTGCAAAAAACAAGATGGTCTAAAACTTGAGCGAAATGTTGATTATGAATTGTTATTTTGTTCAATATTTCACTCAAGAAGAAAATTGACAGTTTTAGCCAGTATTTATGTATTTTTATGCTTATTTGCGGATTGTGTCATTAGCTTAGCTACATGCTTTTTGGAATCATGAGTCAGTGTTTCAAATGAGTCATATTATGATGTTCCATTTCAGTTAAGATGCTGCATTAGAAGGTAGCTGCTTATGTAGACAGTAAACAGCAGGGTTTTGGATCAGAGCTAATGTTCCATAATTACTCAGTGATTCACTTCATAGGACTCATATCTGTGTAAGCTGTATTGTTGTGGTGCCATCCTCAGTGTTCAGCAGGAGCCTTCCTTCCTCTTCTGTGCGTCTCTCCACTCCAGACAGAAAGAAACCTGTTTGATACCGATGCCTCAACCCACAAAAAAGGACCACAGATGGCAGATGGTTTCCTCCTCCAGCTTTTTGTACAGACCCCCCAAGGACTGGATTTATTGCCGATTACACATCACCACTTAGGCCACCCAGCGGAGTTCCTGTTCGAGTTTACACTCCTCATTTTACGATATACAACTTGCATGCAGTATATATCATGTAGCGACTAGAGCATGCAGAGTGGGAAAGATCCCGTCGCTTTGGGGAAAATCACTGGAGAGGCCTACCACGCCAAGCCTGTGTTTGCTAAACACAGGCAATGAGAAGAATATGACCACTATTTAAGCCACCATTTAAATGTGCAAATTTCAGGGGAATTTCCCCCTGGGAAGGCCTTACTTATGTGCTGAGCCTGGTCCAGAAATCACAGGAGCTGCATCCAGACTCATACTTTCAGAGTAGGTGCTGTTCCACAAAGAATTAACTTCTTAACAGTTAATGAAGTACGAGGTATGCAGGTGTGCAGTATAAATACATTCCCAGACATGCTACATCCATACTGCTACTGCATTTGCATACTGCTTAGTACAGCGGTATTCTGACCGGGGTTGTGCCTTTGAGAAGTGAATTTAGAATACGTTTAAATTCCAATTCCGTTTCAGAATTTGAATTAAGGAAGCAAATAGGATGCAAACTTGCAATTTGAACTTAATGAAGTAAAAGCTCTGTTTGAAAGTTTTGGAAAAAAAAAGTTTACGTTTGAAGGTGGATGGATGGATGCAAGGATAGATAGATAGATAGATAGATAGATGCAAAGATAGATAGATAGATGCAAAGATAGATAGATAGATAGATAGATGCAAAGATAGATAGATAGATAGATGCAAAGATAGATAGATAGATAGATGCAAGGATAGAACGATTCATGGATGGATGGAAAGATCTATCTATGTATCGTTCTATTTAGATGGATGGATGGAACTATTGATGGATAGAACGTTTTTCTATATGGATGGATGATGGGTAGATACGCTGATTGATAGATTGATCATTCCTTCTGTCTATCTAGATAGATAGAACGATGGATAGATAGATTTATATATTGTTCTATAGATATGGATGGATGGAACGATGGATGGATAGGACTACTCATGAATGCTAAACAGAACTATGGATGGATGATTGATGAATAGAATGATTGATGGATGGGTGGGTGGATAGAAAGAACGATTCATGGATAGATGAAGATATCTATCAATCATTCTATATAGAAGGATGGATTGATGGATAGAACTATTCATAGATGGATGGATGGATGGATGGATAGACAGACAGACAGATAGATAGATAGATAGATAGATAGATGATAGATAGATAGATAGATAGATAGATAGATAGATAGATAGATGATAGATAGATAGATACTGTGGATAGATAGAACAATGGATAAATCTATATATTGTTCTATACAGATGGATGGATGGATGAATGGATGGATAGAAAGAAAAGAACAAAGAAAAGCCCTATATCCAAACAAGAGTGGCCTGTAGAGCTCTCTTTCGGTTTAAAGTGCATGTATATATAGAAATACTTCTGCATATGTTTTTTCAGAGAGGCACAGAGGATAAGAGGTCCGTGTGTGGGTGTGGAAACGATGTGGTTTCAACCGTAGCGGCCAAAGGCACACTGATTGCAAAAAGCAAGGGGAGAGAGTGAAAAAAGAACAGCATGCGCCTAAAATAAACGCCATGTCCATAGGATGAAGAGGCATGGAAAAACATATTTTTTCACATCACTTGACTTCATGAAGGTCATAAAGAAAACAAGACCCGTCACTTACATGAATGCGGTGCATTGTCTGGGTTTTGTGGTGAGTTGCACTCAACAATTTGTCCGTCCTACTTGGAAGTGGCATTATCATAAGCAAGTTTGCTTTAGTGCACATAGAGTTATGCTTACTACGTGACTGCGCATAGGGGGAGGTTATAAGAATGATATGTGACATGGAGAGAACTAGAGTACTATTTACCTGTGCAAAACTCACTGCCACAAGACTAAGGTGTAGCTATGCTTAATTTCTTCATGATACTCTCTTCCTAGAATATCAGAACAGATTTGAGAAATGTAGCATTGCATCACTTGCTCACCAATGTATCCTTTGCAGTGAATGGGTGCCGTCAGAATGAGAGTCCAAACAGCTGATAAAAACATCACAATAATCCACACAAATCCAGTCCATCAATAAACATCATGTGAAGCAAAAAGCTGCATATTTGTAAGAAACAAATCCATCATCAAAGCTTATTAGCATTACTATTCTGGTCAAAATATGCATAATCCATAATAATGCTTCCTTCAGTGGAAAAAGTCCATCCCTTGTCCTCTCGCATTAAAAATCCATGAACATTTTTGTTTAGAACTGTTTTTGCTTGTAAACAGTGCTTGATATGTAAATATTTCTGATTCAGACAAGACTATTTCACTGGAGAAAGCAATGGATAGTGGAATTGCATTTTTGCCAAAACAATGATTTGGAAGTTTAAAAAATCCTGCTTCTTACAAACCTGCAGTTTTTTGCTTCACAAGATGTTAATTGAAGGACTGTGTGGATTATTGTGATGTTTTTATCAGCTGTTTGGACTCATTCTGACGGCACCCATTCACTGCAGAGGAGGATCCATTCGTGAGCATGTGATGTAATGCTATATTTCACAAAATTTGTTCAGATGAAGAAACAAACTACATCTTGGATGGCCCCAGGGAGAGTACATTTTCATTTCTTTTAAAGCAATTATGTCTTTTGTATCATAAATCTAATCATTTAGAAAAGTAACAGCACACTTCTCCCCTTCAAATGCTCGATTGGAGGTGTCATTCATTTCTGAAGCACAAACTGTGCTGGATGAGTTACGCCTTTAAAGTTTCATACTTAAGGTTGGCAGTTTGTTGAAATCCCTAACCTTTAGTTTGATGCTTGCCTTAGCAAGCAGAACTAATGATAGATTGTTCTTTTCTGCTGACACTAGTCTTTTTTGGAAAAACATATCAACAAATTACAGACAGACGGACCTGGGCTGGGATTTCACCTATACTGTAAATCAGTGTCTAGAAGTGATCTTGCTGAAAATTAACAGGCTCGTTGAGAGTTAAACAACTAATTACAAGGCCATTATTAAGTGCGCACTCACACACGTACAGCGCAGTAGAAAGAACCTGACATGTAAGAGCCATTACAAGCTGTGACAGGTTTCTAGAGGACGATCTTACCTGGAGCTTCAAAAACAGCCGTGGATGAAACAGCAGCTCAAAAGAATGTCTGTCTGTCCCGATCGAACAGAACAATGTCAAAACGCACTCTGGGAAACTGCTGAAATGACTTTATTTCAGCGAATAAGACAAGCCTGCTCTCATGTTATATATAGGTAATGAATGGAGCAACTCTGAGAAGGGTTTTGGAACCGAGTCAGAGCCTGAGGACCGGAGCTGGGTTTGATTATGTACAGGAGTAAGAGCGGGTCCTGGGATGTTTGTCAGATAAAAGCTGCATTTCGAACACATCACGGTTTTTAGCTTGTCTCTATCGTGGCCATTTTGACATGCTTACATTCTGCTTACATTTGATCTGCCGTGGCAGACGTGAGGGAGAGGGTTCAAAGGCCTCGCATTCCCTTGACAGCCGCAGTGTCAGTCAGAGAGACGGGTTCCTTAACCCATACGAAATGAAACTGTAGAAGGTCCCTTATAATACCTTCATCCCTCAGTGTTGTTACAACAATTGGGATGGGAAAAGGGCTCAGCAGATTGAGATGTTATCGATACTTTTGTCAGAATCTTTCACACTCATTGCCAGCAGAAAGCTCCAGATGTCAGAGGTGGGCACGCAGCGGTAGATCAGGCCCATATGTGCGCCGTGACTCAGGAGTCGAGCCCCCGCCGCAGAATGTGTGTTCTGGAGAAATGGAGTTGGGCCTGACCCGCCGGCCCCTCCACACTCGTTAAAGCAAGATCTTCACATGTGGAAACCCGATACACCTCTACTGCATGTTTGTCCTCCATTGTCATCTACCGTTCGTTCAGTCGCTCCATATGTGTGCGGGACTGTGGCTGCACCCCACCGGAGCTCAGAGCCAAAAGTATGATTGTCGTATTTATGCGTTTGTAGAGCTGCAGCAATCTCTGAGCAGCGTGAACGTTTTCTGAATCAGGTTACAGCGCTCTGCTATTCAAAACCGTGTTGTTAAATTATACTTTTTTATTGCTTTTTTATAAACGTTGCATATTATTGAGTAATGCTTAGCATATATTATTTCATTTTATGCAGTATCCGTTGACATAAATGTGACATGCTATAATTCATCTTAAACTGTTTTAAACAAATTTTACAGTTGTTCTATAATTATATATTTAACCTAAACCTTGTTAAATTAAAACAGCTTTTTAAAATTCTTTTGAAAAACAAAAATCAACAAAACAAAATTTTAGTTTTTTTTTTTTTTTTTTTTATACATGTACATTTTTTTTCGCAGCCCACATCAAAAATACAGTGAAGACAATAATATTATGGAAAAAAACAATTGTATTTACAATAACTGTTTTCTGTTTGAATATGTTTTAAAATTTAGCTTATTCTGTGATGGCAAAGCTGAACTTCTGTGTCACATGATCCTTCAGAAATCATTCTAATATGTTTATAAAAAGAAGAACCATTATTAATAACTGAATGCCATTCACAACTGAGCCCAAAATCAGCATATTAGAATGATTTCTGAAAGATAATGTGACACTGAAAACTGGAGTAATGATGCTGAAAATTCAGATATGCCATTACAGGAAAAAATGAAAAATATATTACAATAGAAAAGAGTTATTTTAAAATGCAATAATACTTAACCATATTATTGTTTTTACTGTATTTCTTATTAAATAAATGCAGCCTTGGTGTGCATAAGGGACTTCTTTTAACAACATAAAAAAAAAATCATTAAAAAAAAAAAAAGAAGAAATCCCAGGTGTGTGGCATGTTTTCTAGACCTGTGTGTTAGGTGTTTAATATAAAGTAAAACGTTGTATTTGAATATTTGAAAAGTCTTGAAAAGTTTTGATTAGGTTTCCAAAGTATACCCAGGCCTGCCACAGTAAAGATCATCTCTCTTATAAAAACTAATTACTACAACTTTATTGGCTGACTAATAGGAGCAGTGGTTGGGACACTAGTCCAAGTGTTCGTCAAATGAGAACGCGCTGTTGGAGGACTGTGGTTTCTCTCCCTCCCCTGTTCCGAAGCTGGAGAGATGGGGAGGGCAGGCCCATGAGTAGGCGATGCACAAACTAGTCAAAACTCAGTCTTTCACCCCCCTGCCTGCGGACTGAAGCAGTCGCTAGAGTTTCTTCGTCGTCTGCTTTTAGTGCTTTCTGGAAGCACCAGGGTTTTAGGTTAAAAACCCGAGCAGCCTCTGGAAAGAAAAGAGGGGGGAAGTTTGAAAGGTTTCCGTGTTTCCTGCGCAAAAAGGAGGATTTAATGCAGAACTTAAGTTTTAAGCGCAAAAAAGTTGTGAATGCATGAGCTCTGTGAGGTGGACTGATTGACTCCAGACTGCTTTTGTCTGCTAATTTCTCTAATAAGGAGGAAGAGTCTTTTGTCTCTCCTGTTGCGCACCGCGAGCGCAGCGCGTTTGTTTGCGCTCTTGTCAAACTATTGAATGTTTAATTGACACCTGTTGTGTGACGTCGTAATACTCTGTAGCCCGGTAAGTGTATCAAAATTGTTAGAACTTTATCTCGAGTGATTTTCGCTGAACTTTTTCCCCCCCGTAATGGACAGCGCCGGACTGTTTTGGAGTATGTTCATGAGGTGAATGAAACAGAAAAACCCTGGAAACGCACATGCCAAGTTACATTTATCGGAGGTGGAATTGTTTCATATTTTCTGAAGTAACTCCTACTTTATATGCGCTTCAAAAGATCATCGCGTAGAGCAGAAGACCAGGTTCAGCTGTCAGGATTTCAGCTCTGGAACTTTGGAGGAACTTTTGGAGACCTACACTGAACGGATAGATCGAGATCTGCAAACAAGTAAGTTGTAGTTACTATCAACCCTAAAAGTTGTATTGTTTGGAAAGGATGATTGTTGATGTTGCCTCAAGCTTTTGGTTGTTTTAAGAGAAGTGTGTACTTTCAGAAAAGTTTGTACCGGCCAGCGAAACTTACAGGCTTCATATAGGCTACCCTCTTCATCTCCAGGTTCCTACAAAAATATGTTTTTGCCCAAGGCATAGAGAGAGCGGGGAGTTGTAACACCATCGGTTTGAGCAATTAGAAATGAGCTACAGGAGTAAAAATCTCTGTCATACATGTCCACCACCTTCCTGAGGTGACAGTACAAGCTGTAGGACTCTTTGTTTAAATAGAACGGGTTTACGTGACACATTTGGGGTAAAACTGTATAATTTCACGTCTGGTTTATCATTTGATTTGCGTTCATGTTGACGAATATTAGGCTAAATGACAAACTTAGTATCATCTGAATCAAAAGATTCTCTTGTTTAACATCCACAAAGGCGTTCCTCTACATGTTTTAGATAAAAATAATAATAATAATAATAATAATAAATGACCAGACAAGGGAGGGTTGTAACATTTTTCAATGTAGGCTACTGGACCCACAGAGACTGCAAAAAATGGGACAGTGTATAGGCCTACGTTTGACACAGCGGTGAGAGTGACTAACATTCACACAGTTATGTTTTATGTATTTCTACATTTGTTATCCCCTTTTTATTAACAGTTTTACTTGCAAAATGTTTTCTGTTTGTTTAGCTTTTGGATAAAATTTGCATAGGAGTGATATAATTGTAGTATTATGTTGAGCAAGTAAATTACCACAATAGGCTACATTCGTTCACATAATGTGCATGTTTTCTATTAGTGTTACAACCCTCTTTTGTCTACTTGCAACCCTCCGCACTCTTGTATGGTACCTGACATTAATTTACATAGTTTAAGGATGAATTGTAGATTTATAAAGTAGCCTAATTAAATGTAACAGATAAATATGGAAATCTCTGCATTACAGACGTTTGAATGTTTTACAACATTCCCCGTTCTCCCCTACTGCTATAGAGTCTTATTTACCCACTTGGATTCTCTAGTAATTGTTGACACAAAGAACACTCATATCCTGTTAATTTTTTAATGGTCCAAAGTTGACTCACTCTTTGGAACAGTTCATTTTAGACTGGGATACTCTAATAATCTGAATCAATTTCCTCTCAGTGGATGTGGGGCACATCTTTCAAACTGAGGTCAAATGTTTGAAATGATTTTATCGGGATCGTGCCGTGATTTTCTTGCGAAAACACTTCATGTAATGTGTTGAAGCTGAGAAAATGATCGACAGTTGCTGACTTTTGCTGCCGTTTTTAAATAAGCCATCTGTAGTCTGTCAATGAAAAAAATGTCTCGGCCATTTGAGAAGCGCCAGGGTCCAAATTATGGGAAGCCAGACTTGAACCTCGACGCCAGGATTTTAAAGCGTCTATTCTTTTACATATAGCTGATGATACATATATGACAATGATATATGACACAAATTGGTCACGCCTCACCATGTGTGTGTAGTATACGCTCGCGAACGGAAGTCTTGTTCGCCTTCAGCAGGTAACCATAGCAACAGTACGCTGCTCGAGCGCTTGACATTAAGATCAATATATCGGCACACCTTAATATTGTCATTATTTAAAAATTTTGTGTAAGACGTCTTTAAAGCGGTTTTCTAACTGGCTATGGGCGCCAAAATAAAATCTGGTTTTTTTTTCCGACATCAGAAAGTGCCCAAGGCATTTGCTTTATTTGAATACTATCAAGGACTGCTTGTAACTTTTTTTTTTTTTTCCACCATATTTCTCAATCAGTTTGCTTTTACAACAATACTTTAACAGACATGTCATACAGACATTTGAGCAGCTGGAAGGACATCGGATTTTATAGGACATAGGCCTACAAACAGTAAATTGTTTTATTTGAGATTTAATGTAGGCCTATTGAAGAATAGCAATCAGTGAATTTTCCGATGTATTTTTAAGGGTCAACAAACTTTACGCAAACTGTACAGTGCTTCTGTTTTGTTTCATTATTATGAATATTTCTTGTTTTGCCCTCTCAACAGTATTTGGGTTTCTATGTGTTTGTGTAATGTAAAGCTACCTTTCCAGTGCCTCTGGAACGATAAGAAGATTCTTGTCTGCTCGGCCAAAATAGTTTCTAACCGCAAAAAATATAAACAAGTGTCCTTTAACCAAACACATGAAGATTTAGATGTACTCTGAGGCTCTCTTTTATCAGCTCGAACTGAAGAACAGACAGTGGGAAGCAATATCTCCTGTTGTGTGTATAAACGCTGGCTGCGGGTTTCATTCCCCTATGTCGGCCATATAATTCATGTGTTTGTGTTTTACCTTTTCTCCCTGCCAGAGACTGTATTTGTGCAGGTTTAATTGATATATGCGGGCCTTGTGTTAAACGTATTGGCCAGATATGCTGTGTGTAAGTCCTTATCGATACTTTACAGTGAAGTAAACCTTATTCTCACACACGTAATGTAGCTACTTTCTCCCTCTTAACAGACCACTTTCAGGACTTAACTGAGGTTAAGAGGGTCCACAGAGTCCTGTGCTTTAATTTGGCGAACCATTTTCTTTTGAAATCGTAACACTCCCTCTTTTTAAATAGGACGGTCCGGGTAAGAGCAAACAGGCATCCATGTTGCACTTGATTATTCCCATTTGTTCTGCGGCAACACTGAGATTTGAATCAGCATGAATCTGAAAATGTGTTACCCATGGTGTGGTAAATATCTAGAGGATGTATATGGAAGTGTGTTTGTTGAGGTTTTCCTTTTGTTAATTAGTTTGTGGCCGTTTTCTTTGATCACGCAGCCTAAAGCCTCGTTTTTGAAGGGAAGGGGGTCGGATATCTGATCAAGAACTTGCTGTTTAGCTTTCAGATGTTTTTAGCCTCGATCCTACCTCAGCCCAGGGTTTTCCCCTTTTCTCCTTTATATGTGTCTATCTGTTTTTCTGTGGTATTTGGAATGTGACGGGGGCTGGGTTGATTAAGACATTGATTCATTTAATGAAATGTTTGAGTTCTGGGGTGGAATGAGAAGCTGCAGACACCAGCCGTGTTTCTGTGGCCAAAGCTCTGGGAAACCTCTCAAAAGCTGATTCAGAGATAAAACCGTCAACAGCCCACCTGCACAAGCCAACCTGCCTCTCTTGCCTGAGCACGCGCTTCACACACACACATGTACATCCCCTATCATCCGCAGCACACACTCTTTGGCTCTCTGTCTGTTTTTCTCTTTCTCTCTCACTTACCTTTCTTTCTCTCACTCTCAGGAAAATGCACAGAGACAATCACAATCCGAATGCATCCTTTCCTTGAAACATGGCAGTAGGAAGCAAAAGCGATCTGTCAGGTTGTACTTTGTTGTTCCTGAACACCATGATCCAGATGCCTCTCAAAAGTGTGATAATACTCCCCACCAGGCCCTGCGGTCCATTGAGAGGTTGGGTCTCTTTCTTTTAAGTGCAAATAGTACCACCCCCTTCTCGCATGCTCTTGTGTTGGCCTCTGACTCTATCATGTAAGCTGTTCTGTCAGTGATTTGGGGACTGATAAAAGTGCCCACAGCCTTGGCCTGAGCCTGATGTGTCTGGCATTGATGTGTGCATAGGACCCTTTTATCCACATGCTAGGAAAAAGATGGTGTGTGGTGATGTGTGATCCTCAAGATCAAATGCAGTGGCGGAGCTAATGTTTTGTGGATGAATTTGGGATGATGGCCACAAAATTTGACACATTTATTTAACTAAAATGTTTAATTTGTACTTTTTTTTTTTCAAGAATAGTTGCAAAAGTCTAAATAGATAGAAGGGCCCAAAGTAATTTGACACATTTATTTAGCTAAAGCTTGTATATATAAAGCTTGTATATAAAAGTGTATATATACACTTTTATATATTTATTTATATATTTATTAGATTACATTTTATATCAGTTTTAGTTTTTTTTTTTACGCTTCTCTTTGGGATAATCTATGTAATTCTGTGGAATCGAAATGTGTTAAATATAGAAGACAGAAAAACATTCTTATTCCTAGCTAAAATTATAAATTAGCCAAAACATTTAATAAACAACTACGCAAGGGGCGGAGGATGTGTGAAATGGCAATTCTGCAAAGTTCATGCAGATTCTTGACTATAGGTCAGACGTCACGTGAATTTGAGCTTATGGGATCATCGTTTTCTCCCTCTCCCAGACTTATAATGCAGAGTAAACTAAAATCTTGACTTGCTGAGCAACTATTTAACAGTTCTGCATTGCACTGCACTTATTTCTCGCTAGAGATTATGGGCTCCTGACTGGAGCTGTTTTCTAGCTTGTAATCATGTCAGAGACAGTGTTAATTGTTCAGATGCTCACAAGACGCTCCAACACCAGGTGTGCACTCTTTAAAACATGCCACTGTTTCAACACCGCCTTGAAAAATAGGAGCCTATGTTCATTGATTACAGAGATCCAGACTGAGAAATGCTCATGTTTGGCCTCCTGCCTTTCACCCGCTGAAGGGCATGGCGTATCAACATCATGTCTGAGTGAGAACGGGCCTGTCTGTCTGTGTGTTTACCTTCATCACCTGTGCCGCGCGTCAGCATCTATCGCTCTCACACACACACACACGCACACACACATGCGTATTGACGTCCTGTCTGGACACAGAGACAGTGATCAGCAGAAGTGCTGCATCTCAAACACATCATGGGTTTGTTGATGCGGATTTAGCATGACGTCTATCAAGTGCCAAAGAACAGCTGTCATAAGCAGTGTCACCGCTTGCCCTTAAGCTTGTTTATAGCTAGCTACTTGAATAATAACTTTATTCTTTTAATGGCACAGACATGGGAACTCTATCGCCCCCTTGAGTTTACTGTAATGTTAAGTATGTACAATAAAACTCTGCTTGCATTCATGCTTGATTACTAGTGCAGTACATTTATGGCCTTATAGTTTCT